TGGACCACAAGCTGAATATGAGTCAGCAGTGTGATGCTGTTGCAAAAAAAGCAAACATGATTCTGGGATGCATTAACAGGTATATTGTGAGCAAGACACGAGAAGTCATTCTTCTGCTCTACTCTGCGCTGGTTAGGCCTCAATTGGAGTATTGTGTTCAGTTCTGGGCACCGCATTTCAAGAAAGATGTGGAGAAATTGGAGAGGGTCTAGAGAACATGACCTATGAGGGAAGGCTGAAGGAATTAGGTTTGTTTAGTTTAGAAAAGAGAAGATTGAGGGGGGACATGATAGCCGTTTTCAGGTATCTAAAGGGGTGTCATAAGGAGAAGGGAGAAAACTTGTTCATCTTGGCCTCTGAGGCTAGAACAAGAAGCAATGGGCTTAAACTGCAGCAAGGGAGGTTTAGGTTGGACATTAGGAAAAAGTTCCTAACTGTCAGGGTAGTCAAACACTGGAATAAATTGCCCAGGGAGGTTGTGGAATCCCCATCTGTGGAGATATTTAAGATTAGGTTAGATAAATGTCTATCAGGGATGGTCTAGACAGTATTTGGTCCTGCCATGAGGGCAGGGGACTGGACTCGATGACCTCTCGAGGTCCCTTCCAGTCCTAGTATTCTATGATTGATTAACTGCTCCCAAGTGCAAACCTACCTGGATCCTATGGGTGTGTTTTTGGGGTGGCTTGCCCATACCACAGCCAGTACAATACTATTGTTAGTTCACTAGCTCAATGATAACCAGCACGAGTAAATCTACTTGAACGAGGAATCACATCCTAGTTCCAAGTGTGGACGTAACTTAAGAGGAGTAGTTCTTTCCCATCCCCTTCTAACTAAAGAGGCCTCAGAAAATGCATAGTTGGCCCTAAACAACCATCCGGGATACAAATTATATATATAGTTGGAGACCCTATTTGTTACTTTTAGGTTCTGAAATAATGATCAGTATATTCATTCATTCTTATAATGCTGATGTTGTTTAATACTTTAGAGTTGCTAAATATGAGTTAGAATACATGAAAAGTTAATATTTTAAATTAATTAGAATTGTCTAACTTTGTTAACAAAGAACGCCATTTTAGGGGGACATTTTCCTTCAATATTCATCTCCTTCTCACTTCCCACCATCAGTGATTGATTGATAGATTCATAAAAGTCATAAAAAAAGCCAAAAAATCTTGACAAGTTTGGTTTGCTAAGCAATGTTTTTCAACTGAGTTTTTCTTTTGAGTTGTTCACATTTTAATTAAATACAGAAGTTAATGAGATGATTCACAGAAGTATTGTGGAAGTATCTTTTTTATTTCACTTACCCTGAGTTCCATTTTGTTCCATGGTTGTTTTTGCATGTTAACATTGTAAATTTTTGCTTTTCTTACTGCCCGCACATAAGCCTCATGGCCTTGCCTAAAATATATAATCTTAAAGAAAAGAAAAGAGAATGTGTAGATTTTGTTTTATTCATACCATTAATCTGTGAGGTTAAAAGGATATCTACAAATAAAGATCTTCCTCTTAAATTCTATAGGATATTTCCATAAGGATTATTTTGTTGGAAAACACTATTATTCTGCCTTCTGTGCAGCATTATATTTCTATCTAGCCATCTAAAGTATCTTTATTAGCTCTACTTGAGGAACTCTCATTGACAGAAAATGGAAACACAAATATTGCATAAAATTACCTCATCTCCCATTTGAGGGACAAAGGGTGAACGACGTGGTATTGTATCCAAGATCCACTGGGGTGCAAACCATTCCTCGCTGGGTTCACCTTCCATCGAAGGTAATCCACTTGGTTTCTTAGACACATGACATTACATTTAGAGAACAAGTTATAACTACTATTGGCAAGACATATATAGAGCAAAGTGGATTAAATATTACAAGCAAAGCAAACCCTGAAATGCCAAATCTCCAAGAAAATTAAGTGATCTTTACTTATCACCCATCATCATTAATATAACAACAGATTAAGGAAAAATTCATTTCTTAACATATATATAAAACAGGCCTAACAGCATACTAAATGTTTGCTTCAACAAAACCCCACAAACATTCTTTTCAAGAAGCATATAACAAAATTTTAAACTATGGAACTAATTTAACTGCTTTAATGTTGCAGTTCTTCAACTACCTGTTTACAGTTCTGTCTACTTGGGACATAGTTCAAAATCAATAGGCTCACCTCAGGTGTGAATGTGACTCTTTACATTTGCCAAAGAAATGATGTATGGGGGTGCTAATCACCTGTATTTTTTCTTTTCCATTCCCTCCACCCACAGATATACATAAAAGTAAAATAGCTGGAAAATTTTACACGCTAAGGACTAAATCCTCAGCTATTCCAGAACATGGCTTGGCACAGTTGAGGTGAGATAAAAATAGCTCCCAGTCACTTTTGTGGCAAAGATCCACAGGCTGGTTGGGAGCTGCACTGGCTGTTGGTGCAAGTTAAAGCATATTAATGGCTGTTCTGACTTGCTTCTCATTTGTAGTGATTCTAGGTGACATTGCACCAGTGGGGCCTGCTGGAACACAGTGAGTTCTGGCCCTACCTCTCTAGTCTCTCTCATTAAGCTAACTCTTTTATAAAAGTCTATTTTTTTCAGTATCCTAATGAAAAATCACTAAAATATCAAAATGGCCACTACATAATAATAGTATAACAAAATTACACATCAGAATCCTATTTTGTTTTATTTTAAGGTGATTTGTGACTATTGTGTGCATACTTGTTATAGAAAAAAAATTAACTCTAGTATCTGTGAAGCCAAAAAGCCCTCTAAAAAACTAACCTTTTTTCTAGTCTGTTTGGGTTTCCTTCGTTTCACTTCCAATCCTTTTGCTTCCTTCATATTTTCATCTTCAGAGCTGCTACAGATCTTCCGAGTCGCCTGTCTGGTTTGTCTCTTTGGAGGCTGGAGATTAATTCCTGCATCTGCTGTCCAGTCAGAATATTCACTTGAAGAATCACTGTAAATATTACAAAGTAAAAGCTAAGAAACAATAGGTCAAGACAACCACACAATATTTTTCTAAGCATAATCCTGCAAGCTTCTCCATGCAGGTGGGTTCTTGAAGTTGTATTCTCATGAAGTCTATAGAAAGCCTAAATGGTGCATAATTTAGACATTTCAGCGTACAATTTCAGCTGCAAATTCATATAGAAGCCAGCATTATAATTTAATATTTGTATCATAGTAATGATTTCACTTTCATAGAAGTCTGTAGGGATGTATTTTATTGCCCTCGTGCTTCACATAAATTCTTAATGGATTTATTGCTGAAATTTGTCAGAGTTTTAGCCAATAGCAGTAGAGTCTTTAAACATGTACTGCTGTCTTCCATAACATTGCAGTAACAAACATACACTTTCTGATTTAATATTAGCTCTTGCCCCTCCAAGCATTGAAGCACTGTATATTTTAAAAAATTCTAAAAATTATGCATAGCAATATTTTGACAAATTCATTTCAGTGAGTAGAACAGGATGTGGCCATGTTAGCACAACTCATTTTGTGTCAATGCTATTATTTCACTGCTCAAAGAATCAACTAATATTTGCATTTTGGGTACATGACTCTCAAATATTAAAATACTTCATTTGCTGATCTGCTTTATACTAGTTCCTTATCTTGTGCACAAAGAGGAAAGTCTTCAGACTACAAAACATTTGAAAGTACAAGTTTTTCCACAGTGCTTAACAAAAAGTAAATGCTTTTGTAATCACTTTTATAATTACTTGGTCTGTTTCACCATGATATTTTCTAGTTAAAGACACACAAATATTCCACTCAGAATGATGAGTCTTTGAACTTCAATGCTGGAGCAGTGCAGAGCTCCTCCTTACCTTAATCTCTCAAAGGAGAGGGAGATTTACTTATTTTACAGTGAAATAAATTCTAGATATTTATTCCCATATTGTAGTCATGGCTCCAGAAATATCAATTGCCTCAGTACTGCTTTTCAATACGACATAATCACAAGATAAAGAAGAAATATACAGGACATGAAAAGCTACCTGGAACTGCTTTCACTTTGCCATACAGCCACAGCATCATCCACAGAGGCATCACTTGTGCCAACTGTTTCATCTTCCTGCATTAAAAACAAGCTTTCAATGAAGTATTTTCTCTTTCACCTGTAGAACCTCAGAGCTATGAACACTAGAGTTATGAACTGACCAGTTAGCCTCACACCTCATTTGGAACTAGAAATATGCAAATCAGACAGCAGCTGAAACAAAGAAAAAAAAATCACTAACTACTATAAAAAAGGGAAAAAAATCTGCCAGGGTAAGGAAACTTTCTGTGCATGTTCAGTTTAAAATAAGATGGCTAAAGGCAGCATTTTTCTTCTTCACGGTGAAGTTTCAAAGCTGTATGGAGTCAATGTTCAGTTGTGAAATTTTGAAATAACAAGCATAACGTTTTGTTCCAAGTTACAAACGTTTTAATGTTATGAATAATCTTCACTCTCGAGGTGTTCATAACGCTGAAGTTCTTCTGTATTCACCTGAAAATATCATGATGCAAACATTCATATGACATTTCTCAAAAGAAGGTTATTTAACATTAATCCAAGTGCTTATATATAAAAAAAAAAGAGGCTCTCCAAAGTAATGTAGGAAGAGTTACATGGCATGATTCCCCTCACAAACCACTGCACCTTTGACAGTAGCATGAGCTACTAAAGACATGGAACAGCACCCACTCTGGAGACAAGCTAGAACTAATATATGTAGTTTCATATCCCTATAAAACTGTCCAAGAGCCATTTCAACAAGAACCAAACTACGCATTTTCACTTCTAATGTGAAATCAGTGCTGCTGTATGCCTCGGAGGCGTGGCACATTGTCCAGAGCAACATTAAGAGAGTTCAGATGTTTGTCAATAAATTCATTAGACACATTCTCCAGCAAAAGTGGTACGATAGGATACCAAATGAAACCTTGTGGACCAAAACAAATCAGAAACCGATGGAGGACCAGATTAAAAAGAGAAAATGGAGATGGGAAGGCCACATCCTGCATAAAGACTGTCAGGAATGTATCATGAGACAAGCGTTAGAATGGAATCCAAAGGGAGAGAGGAAAAGGGGACATCCCAAACAAACATGGTGACGAAGCTTCCTGGACAAAGTAAAAGCAGCTGGCTTAACGTGGGATCAAATCAAGACTATCGCTAAGGATCACAAGAGATGGAGAATTACTGTAGAGGCCCTATGCTCCATTAGGAGTCCAAAGGACAGATTAGATAGATTGACTGATCAATCTGTCCTTACGGTCCTTTCGACCTCAGAAATCAAGAGATGCTGGAAGTGATCATCTCAGATCTGTTGACTAGGGATGTAAAATCCTGTTTAACTGGTTAATCGATTAAACCCCCACTGCCAACAGGGGCTGCTCCAGCTGGGCTGGAGCACCCCTCTCCTGTGAGGGGGGGCAGGGAGCTGTTCCAGCCCCCCCACTGGTTACCTGGAACTGGTAAGCCTCGCATGTTAAGGATGTGACTTACTGGTTACCCATTCACATCCCTACTGCTGACCCAAAATATATTCAGAGAATTTCAGTTTCTAGTGCATGACCATCATTTCTCCTTCACAAATTTGCCTCTGAAGAATAGGTGGAAGAAGAATAGCCAGATACGGAGAAAGGACAGCATGATGCACATAATCTTTTATGGTTCTTGCTGCTACCCACGATTTGTGGTCTGCAAGGTAAAGCTCTCCTACAGTAGAGAGCTGCAAAAGCATCCAGATGAATGCAGAAGAACTTCGCATCATCAGATGTTAAAACAATTTTTAAAAATACCTAAAATGTTCCTTTCTTAAAAGCTTTAAAAAGTTTTAAATTCTATTATCTGAAACATATTTCCTTTTAATACAGAAGTATGGCTATTAATCCATCTAATACTAAGCTTTTCCTTTAATGTTAGAATTATGATAACTATGGTGGAGTTTTTAACTGAGCATTTAATTCACATGTTTTTTAGTATTAAGTTACAGAGCAGGAGAAAGCAGGGAAATATAAAATGTGTCTTATTTTACATGCTTCCCTTTCTGTGCTGAGAGAAAATTATATTTAATCTGTGAAACTTTGAATCCTTACTGTCTTCAATATCAACCATGTCCAAGGTTCACACCAACACATAGTATCTTTAAAAATTGCTTCACAGATGTACATGAAGCCAACCTACTTAATTACATGCACAATATATGTGCAATATGAAGTCTATAATATGCATGAAATACCAAAATAGCAAATATTAAAAAGTAATGTCCAGAGACCAGATAAATTAACCTGACAACATCTCAAGACTTCCTGGCAGAGGATGTCCATAAAACAAACCATTTTGAATAAGATTTGAATATGTTTATATTTCTGCCAATTTAGACACAGATATAAATAGTTCATCTCCTTCTCACGCTGATTTAATAAAAGAATAGCATGAGTCCTAAAAACAATATGAATCAAATCCTTCTTTATAAAATAACAGAAAATCCTGAATCTTAATGATAATGCTATTTTGAGAACATCTGTAGTCAAACCACACAATCTAGGAACAAGGAATATATTGAAACAATCACTTGAGGTGTCATACCTCAGAGGAGCTTTCAGATTCTTCCTGTGTACGTGCATTTTGACTTGCTCCTTGCTGACTGTGTTCAATGGTGGAGCGTGTTTGGTAGGTATGCTGGCGCTTGCGTTGGTTTCTTCTCAAAGATCGTCCACTGCCAGGTTGATAATCACTCTTTTGTTACGAGGGAAAAAAAAGACAAAGATAAGACCTTTTAGCAGTTAAGTGTGTGTGTGTGTGTGTGTGTGTGTGTGTGTACACACACACACCCTTATTAAAAAGGACTGGATGAGGCCCAACTCTCAACAGAAAACCAGATTATCTGGAGTTCGGGCTGAAATGCCATCCCTAACTTAATCTGTTTTGCCAAAATATGCTGACAAAAATATTTGCCCATTGTGTTAAGAAGTGATTCTACTCTGAAAATTAGTTATTCAAAAACACCACTTTCTTGCGGAAGAGATGTTCCCTGTGACCTTGACTACAAGAGAAAAATTCTGAGAACTGCCTGGTTCCTCTAACGTTCTTAGAAAATACATGTATAAATGCCACAAGTACATGCCAAAAATCTAACAGTGAGACTAGACTTTCTTTCAATACCATTCTAAATACTATTTCAGTCAACAGAATTTTAGTACTAGTGTGGCTGTAGCTTGTTGGCATAAAAGCACAAGAGGTTCAAATAAGCCTTCCCACTACTGTTTAAGAAGAGAAAGGCTACTCTCTATTACCCCTGCCTGGCCCCAAAGAAAAACATAGGATGTTACTGATTATGCATCAGCAGCAACAAAGCCAATTTGACTTTCAGATCTCAGGATGAATTTGCAGAACTGACACTTGGAAAAAAGAATTTCATCTCTTTTTCTGATAACAAACATGAACAATGTGTCTTTTTTAACGAAGTGAAAGTCTCCATCACTGAAAGAACCTTCAGGCAGGAACAGTTTGTATTTGTACAGCATCTAGCACAGTGAACCTCTAGGCACTAGGGCAATCCAAGTAATAATAGAAAGGAAGATGAGGACTGAAGGTCCCTGAAAAAGGATTCTATCAGCTGCCATATTTACATACAATGGGTGAAATCTAGGCCCAATTAAATCAATGGGAGGTTTTTCAATTACTTCAGTAGGGACAAGATTTTATTTAATACAGATGTATTTTAAATGGTGTTTTGCATTTTAACTAATGGCACTTTTAAAAAAGCCCTTACAGCAGAGTGTGTGAATTAGTGTGAATGCTGTAAGTATCATCTGGGGTGTGTCATCTTTAATGTGGATAACTTAAACTGGCTGTGTACGGTGCTGTTGCAATTTAGGGATCACAATGCCCAAACACTGGGACTTCACAAAGACTCAGAGGTTCCTGACAGCAGTTGCAGAATAGAGAGACATTATGTGAATCCTTTTAAAAAATGAGTAGATACCCACCCATTTGTAATACTTAATTTGTCAAGCAGTCAGCCATTAGAATTATTTTTCAATTTAAAAGCTAATACATTTGGTCTTCAAAGTCAATGCATAACAAAGAATTCCTTGCATTCTTAAGAACCTAAAAATAGGTGAGGCCTTCATTCTGCAAAAAGAACCATCTGGCCAGACCTATCTCCATTAGCGTTAATGGGTAAGCATCACTCTTGCCAGGTTTAAATTAAGTGGGATTTTTATATCCCTTGTATACATCAACACAGAGCCCCACTAAAGAATGGGAAGCTCCATGTGGATGCAGGATTTGTCCATATGTTGCAAGCTGCAGGATCTAGAACTTAGTACTAACATTTCTTTTTTCATCTTAGATGAGCCTTTATTCATTTAAACCATGTACTTCATTTTTCCTCCCATACAACTGTTTAAACAAATTCTTCTGCAGCACAGACTAAATTAAAAATGGAATTACATAGAGCAAAACTAGAAAGATTGATTAGCAAGGATATCAAAATATCTAGAAAAAATGATGTTGGACATTTTTTGCACAGTATTTAAAATAGCTTCAACTTTTATTTTTCCCTTTTCTAGGGAAAATTACTCACTCTTTGCAAGGTGTAGGATGGTTTTCTCTTCTTTTCTACAGTATAAAGACTAACTTCCATATCACCTTTGGCAGTTCGGCATTCTTCCTGAACCCTAAAAACATATGACAGACGTTTAGATTCTTTACTAAATCATTAAATAGATCGACAATCTAGTTACTAATAGTGTTTAAAACATTATTTGTTTGCTTGTTACCAGCCAGGTGGGCATTAGCCCTCCTAGCACCCAGGGATTGATTTTTTTTTTTAAACAAAACAAAACTCTTTTGATTAGTCATTTCCCTATAAAAGGAGAGCTGGTTGTATGTTTCATTAAGCATGATGACATATTAAAATTTTAAAAGCATGGTCAAGGGGAAAAAACTTTCAAGAAAAAGAACAGTCAAAATAAAACTGGCCCCAATAAGGTAAGAACAGAATATCTGAACCAGCAAAGAAGGAGTTAAATAACCATATAGGTAAGAAATTACCATCCTTCACATTCCAAAGCAGAATATAGCCCCAATTTTTAACTCTAAATCTGAAGAAAATATAGTACTGAAAAATCAGTTTCTTAAAAAAAATTCTCATTTTTGAAAGAGGCATCATTGAAAGAATATGACTGATTTATTCTTCCTACCCTAAACATGCTTTGGAATATTACATATAGATGCCAAGAAAAAAATAGATCACTTATAACATGATCTTTGTAATTCATACACTTTATGATGTTTGTAACAATTGATTCCACATGCACAGCACATATTGGAATAATTTGTTTCATATTTCTTGATTAAAACAATCTGTTTCAGTATTTTTGTCCTGCAATAGAATGGAGCTGTTTCCAAAAGAAGTTCAGAATCAATGGCTTCATCTTACCTGCAAACCCCTGAATGCAGCTCATTCACCACTACTCTTCTGCTCCATGCCATAAGATCTCTTTCTGTGGCCATCTGACTGCGAGGAGCATTGTGATGCATTTGCCGGACCCCCTCAATCTGACCACTACGTCTGAGACCAACATTTGGTGGGGAATCCAAACTTGGACTTCTAAGAGCTAAAACACAAACACAAAGATCTTTTTTGCGTTCATTTCTGTGCATAAAAATTTAGAGCTAGACAGAGTTTCTTCTCAGAGGCTACGTCTACATTACGAGTTTTGTCGGCAAAAAATATGATGAGGAACTAATTTGCATGAGTCACAATATCATTTGCATATTTTCTGTCAATCCATTTTTGCACAAAAACAAGCAGCATGGATGTTTTCTTTTTCCACAAAACCCCCTTTTTCTGCAAGAAACCCCAGCGCAAAAACGGATCAGCAGAAAATATGCAAATGATATTGTGACTCATGCAAATGAGTCCCTCATTAGCATATTTTTTGCCAAGAAAACTCATAGTGTAGACATAGCCACGGTGCGTCTACACTACAGGGCTTAACTCGAAATAAGCTATACAAACTGAGCTACGTCAACTGAGTATCTTATTTTGAAATGGTTTATTTTGAAATAGGGAGTGCCTACACAGTACCTATTTTGAAATAGAGCACTCTTCCTCCGACTTTCCTTTTTCCTCGTACAATGAGGGTTACAGGAGTCAGAGTAAGAAGTTATCCAGCTTGACAGTATTTTGACACTATTTTGAAATAACTGCCTGCTGTATAGACACAGACTAAGTTATTTCAGAATAGCGCTAATTATTTCAAAATAGTGTTGCAGTGTAGATGTACCCTCAGTCCTCTGTAAGTGGAAGAGCATAGTTGCACTGGCCCAGGAGAAAGCAGTTTTGTCATAGTTACTGATCAACTGAATATCAGCCATTATTATAGGCCTGCCAACTGTCTAATCTCACAAACCCAAATATCTTGGGCCCTGCCCCTTCCCTGCTCACTCCATCCCTCTTCC